TGAGCATAAAAGAGTTTGCAGGGTGAGCCGGGCGCAGTGGTTCACGCCACTAATCCCAGCACTTTGGGAGGCAGAGACAAGAGGATTATCTGAGCTCAGGGGTTTGAGACCAGACTGGACAACATGGTGAGACTTCATCTCTACAAAAAATTTGAAAAAATTAATTAGCCAGGCATGGTGGCACATGCCTATAGTTCCAGCTACTGGGGAAACAGAGGCAGAAGGATCACCTGAGCCCAGCAGGTCAAGGCTGCAATGGCTATGAGTATGCCACTGCACTCTAGCCTGAGTGACAGAGCAAGACCACCCCCCCACCGCAAAAAAAAAAAAGTTTCCAGGGTAAACTAACTCTCAATTGTGGGAACGAAGACTACAAAGCAAAATCAAGGTGAGGCATGGTAGCTCATGCCTGTAATTCCAGTCCTTTGGGGGGCCAAAGCGGGAGGATTGCCTGAGCCCAGGAATTTGAGCCCAGCATGGGCAACAAAGAGAGACTTTGTCTCTTTAAAAAAAAAAAAAGCAGCAGCAAAAATCAATAGGTATCTGAAGGAAGCTAGGAAACAGGTATCTGAATCTGCTGAGTAAATGTGTATCTCACTGGACTTCAAGATGTACCCACTAGGGAAAATTGGTTGGAGGAGAAAAACAAACAATATAAGGACAGGGAGCTGTTAATTTGCCTACAAGTGGAATTTGAGGGGTAGGTGGAAATGTATCGTAGATATGCAATAGTTGATTTGATGTGGACACTAGCACTGAGGTGACAGCTTACAGATGGGGCTATATTTCAAGTCTGTGAGGAGTACAAAATTTCCATGTCCTCTTTGGGGGAAAAGAGCCATGAGAGCTGAGATGGCAGAGGGGGAAATAAGCCATCAAATGGTGTGCACACACTTTTCACAGCTAATAAAATAACCTGACAATGTAGGGTCACAGAAGTCAGGGGAGGGGACATATAAAAATGAGGGCCACTGACAATGTCAAATGGAGTTAAGAAGTCACAACAAATGTGACCCGTCTGACTTGTTTACTAAAAAACTAAATGCGAGCTTCAAAGGAGAAGTTTTTCTAAAGTGCTACGGACAGAAAGCAGGAAACAAGGGGTTGACATAAGAGCTGATGATGAAATGGTGAAGGTAGGGAAGTAGCCCACATTTACCAGGAGTCTGGCATGAAGAGCAAAAGCTTGAGAGGAAAAAGAAAGTTATTAGGGTAATCAATATCAAACTCTAATTTCAGACCTATGTTTCAAATAAAGAAGTCTCCATAAAGGAAATCAAGATAAGATAAAGATCAGGTAACAGATGAAGAATATAGGAGACAATGGGCCTGCTGTCAGGGTTAACACAGAAAGAAAAACACATCCTTCTACTTGACCACGGGGGTTAAAAAATTAGGGAAAATACAGAGAAATTTGGAGGTGACGAAGCTAGAAACTTGAAAAAGCTCAAAGCAGTCCGCTGGCCTTGATATGCTCAAGGAGTTGAGCCAAGAAGGGAAGTCATGAGCTGAGGAGATGGAATTGACAAGCAAAAGCAGCACAAAGGTAGCTGAAAAAGAATCACTGGACAGCGTCCACATGGAGTGAAAAGGCTCCCAAAATCCTGGGATAAGAGGCATGAGCCACTGCACCAGGCAACAAAATGCATCAAATTTCTAATGGCAACAAAAATGCATATGTTCACTTTAATCAGTGGTCCTCAACCTTTGGTGTGCAGAGCATTACATGTAAGGCTCATTAAAATATAAATGGGGGCAGGGCAATCGAGTTTCTGACTCACTAGGGTTAGGTTCTTGCCCAAGAACATGCATCTCTCTCTAAGAAGCTCCCAGGTGATGCTGAGGTGCTTCTCTGTACTTTGAGAACCACCGCAAAAGATAATTAACATATAAAGAGGTAGACACATACTCAAAACTCAGAAAAAAGGACCAAAAACGTGTGCATACCAAAGGCACCTACCCCACTGCCAACAGAAGGACATTACAGTTCAAAATATTACAGGGAAGTGTGTGTGTACAACAATATAGTTACGTAAAGATAAAGCTACAAAAAGTTCTGTCTTTCAGTCTCACCCATAATATATCTTTTGCCCTTTTGGTTTAAAATTTAAAGAACTAGGCTGGGTGAGATGGCTCATGTCTATAACCTCCGCACTTTGGGAGGCCTAGGTGAGAGGATTTTGTGACCCCACAGGTTCAAGACCAGCCTGGGCAACTTGGCAAGACCTCGTCTCTACAATAAATAAAAAAATTAGATGGGTGTGGTAGCGCACACCTGTAGTTCCAGCTACTTGGAAGGCTGAGGTGGAAGGATTGCAGGGGGCCCAGCAGGTCAAGGCTGCGGTGACTGAGAGCAGGCCACTGCACTCCAGCCTGGGCGATAGAGTGACACTCCAACTCAAAAATAAAATAAAAATAAAATTTAAAGAACTTTATATAATAGGGACATAAGGATGCCATAATGCAATGACATATTTTTCCCCAAAATTTAAAACTAGGTAAAAAGAAACCCCCAAAATTGCCTGTTCATATAAATTCTATTCAGGCAAAGCATGAAGAACACTTATATAATAAGTCTGGTAATAAATACAATTTTTAATGTAATTTTGAAATCTGATAATGTATAATAGACGGAAACTGTTTTGCCTACAAAGAAATTAATCAAACACAGATTTAAAATAATGTCATTATTAACCAAGGAAAAAACAAAGGGCCAGACTTAACATCCCTAATCAGCACACATTTTGAGTTAATGTAATTACTTGGTTAGAAAGAAATATATCATCCAGTGTTGTGCACAATGTCTTCAGGTAAATAACTATCTGAGAAAGCAGCCTTGCAAGCTTCTCCAGGAAACAGACTTTGAAGGTTAATCTCCACTTGGATTTGCCATTTGCATGGAAAATAATCAAAAGTGTTCCAAGCTATAAATCATCAACTCTATGGAAGGTTTCAGTAAAAATTCACAAGCTTTTAATTTGCTTTTTAAAAGGTGACTTCTTTAGCCACCCTCGTCCCACATTTCCCAGGAAAGAAAAGCAGAAGTCCTAAAAACAGACAGATAGAAATTCAGTGTCTGCATAGCTTTGAGTCCAGAGTTTGAAGGTAATTCCTGATTGTGTAGCCCTCTCTTGCTCTCTTTTTCTATTTCTCTCTAGGACACTCAAGACTTTACTGATGAATACTCAGCAAATTCTCTATTACAAAGAGGTCTGGCAAGGAAACTAAGACATTAGAAGGAAAATACCAGATGCCACTCTGCAGGTTGCATTAACTACTTCTTACTGGATACATCCAAATCCTTCAGAATCAACAGGTAATGTTTCTTCTAGAAGTATTTGACAAAAATATGTATTTACACTATAACATGTGTACAGAGGTTTTCCAACTTTTTCTTAAAATTGAAAACCTTAAATAACAATCAATATCAATGCAGGCGCATATTTGGAACAAAAATCAAAATGCAATTTGAATGGTGTCAGAGACAATTTTTTTAATTAAGTTTTATATTAAGAAAGATTATACAAAGCATTGAAATAAAATACAAATGGTCTTCCTTATTTTATCTTGAGTATAAAATAAGATTTAAATATAGACAGAGTTGGAAGTCTCAAAGTCAAAAATACTTGTTAAGTAACTTACAGTCTTCGCAAAATGAGCAATATGCAAAGCAGATTTTCCAAAACTGTCAGAGAATTAACAACTGAAAGCAAATAGCAGTGGTAAAGAAGGTTAAAATCAGTGACCTTGTATCAATATAACATTGGGTTTTGTTTAATTTTTTTAAAAAGAGCTAAACAAATGGGATGGTGTTGAAAATTGAAATCATACTATGACAACATGATTCATAATTGTGTATTTTCACTAATTAAGGATAGAAAAAGATGTCCGTGGACATTCTGGGAAATTTAGTGCTACCTTGAATGATAGTCAAGATGTGTGTAACAACTTCAAATATATTGAGCAAAGTTAGAAATGAGATATACAAAGTTAGAAATGAGATATAAATGAGATGTATTTAAAATATTTGAAGCTAAATTCCAAGTTTCTGTATGGCTGATATTTTAATGGATGACTAAGCAATATAGAGGGAGAAATATCTTTCAACGTTAAAGAAAAATGTTTTGGACTTTTTTCTCTGATTCAGTATTTTATTTAGTTAATAAAAATCCCAAGGGTGGTTCATACAAATTTCTTTCCCCTTTTTAAAAAAACTTTAGAATTATAATATGTAATTTTAATCAGTCATTTTTCCCTTAAACACTTTGATGGTACTAGAGGAAATTAACCTTAGGAATAAGGAAGGTATAGGAAAAGTGACTGCAAATAGAAATTAAAAACACTAAAAGGCATGAAAATGAAACAAATATCTCTTCTTGTTTTTTGTTTTTTTTTTTTGAGTTGGGGTCTCACTCTGCTGTCACACTGCCTAGAGTGCAGTGGCACGATCACGGCTCACCATTTTCTCAACCGCCTGGGCTCAGATAATCCTAATGCCTCAGCTGCCCTAGTAGCTGGAACTACAGGTGCATGCCACCATGTCTGGCTAAGTTTTTTATTTTTTGTAGAGATGAGGCCTTGCTATATTGCCCTGGCAGGTCTAGAACTTGTGGGCTCAAGCGATCTCCACCTCAGCCTCCCAAAGTACTGAGATTACAAGTGTGAGATACCACACCAGGCTTCCTCAAGCTTTTATAATATAAGCTTTTTATAATATAGGTGGGCCTTAACTAAGATCAAAACGTAGTTTAAGAGGCAAACATTCAACTAATAAGAAATACGAAGCATCCGTAGTTTCATATAATGTGCTTCAGATCATTTCACTTCACTAGAAATGAAATATTTGCTGAGAAGAAATATTTTGTGATTCAGTATTCTGTGTTCCTACTAACTGCTACAATAAAGATCAGAAACCTTAACTTTTGGAGGACGCTGTGTACCGAAAAAGTTACACATAGAGATAAGAGCAATAACCATCCCTCCTCTCTTACTTTAGGTAGCAAAGAAGAAATGCAAGTCACTGACAACCTCACCTCTGTGCCTGGGAACAACAGTCTGTGCACTAGAGATTATAAAATCACCCAGGTCCTCTTCCCGCTTCTCTATACTGTTCTATTTTTCGTTGGACTCATCACAAACAGTCTGGCAATGAGGATTTTCTTTCAAATCCGCAGTAAATCAAACTTCATTATTTTTCTTAAGAACACAGTCATTTCAGATCTTCTCATGATTCTGACTTTTCCGTTCAAAATTCTTAGCGATGCCAAACTGGGAACGGGACCGCTGAGAACCTTTGTGTGTCAAGTTACCTCTGTTGTATTTTATTTCACAATGTATATCAGCATTTCATTCCTAGGACTGATCACTATTGATCGCTACCAGAAGACCACCAGGCCATTTCAAACATCCAATCCCAGCAATCTCTTGGGGGCTAAGATTCTCTCTGTGGTCATCTGGGCATTCATGTTCTTACTCTCTTTGCCTAACATGATTCTGACCAACAGGAGACCAAGAGACAAAAATGTGAAGAAATGCTCTTTCCTCAAATCAGAATTTGGTCTGGTCTGGCATGAAATAGTCAATTACATCTGTCAAGTCATTTTCTGGATTAATTTTTTAATTGTCATTGTATGTTATACACTTATCACAAAAGAACTGTACCGGTCCTATGTAAGAACAAGGGGCCCAGGCAAAGTCCCCAGGAAAAAGGTGAATGTCAAAGTTTTCATTATCATTGCTGTATTCTTTATTTGTTTTGTTCCTTTCCATTTTGCCCGAATTCCTTACACCCTGAGCCAAACCCGGGACGTCTTTGACTGCATTGCTGAGAATACCCTGTTCTATGTGAAAGAGAGCACTCTATGGTTAACTTCCTTAAATGCATGCCTGGATCCATTTATCTATTTTTTCCTTTGCAAGTCCTTTAGAAATTCCTTAATAACTATGCTGAAGTGCCCCAATTCTGCAACACCTTCATCCCAAGAAAACAGGAAAAAAGAACAGGACGGTAGTGACCCAAGTGAAGAGACTCCAATGTAAACAAATTAACCAAGGAAATATTTCAATCTATTGATGTTCAGAACTTCTTAAAGGGAAGCACTATGTAAAAATATTAATACTGACTAAGAAGTACCTGAGACCATAATAATGACTCTTACAACAAGTAACAAAGGACTCTTACTTTTCTGGTATGAAAAAGCTATCTTAACATGTAGAAAAATAACCCAACCTATATCTGTATGGTAGCAAAAGAAACTGCATCCAGTTGCCACACATCATGTAAAACCACAGAGAATTCATGATTTGCAGAGTTCTGACAAAATTGGTGATCAAAAAAATCTACTGTGTTTAACTATACCATTGATCATAATTTTATTTTTTAAAATTAAGTAAGCAAGAATGGTCAGATATTGGTTTTACCAAAAATGATACTTAAGATGTATGTATATCCCAATCCCCTAACCAAATCCTGACCTATGGTGAAACTTTGTATAGAAACATAAGTGGAATACACACAGAATAATAAATACTAACTTTTAATTATGAGCAAAAATTTAAGGGATTTCAACTAATTAAAACAGTATTTGACTGAACTTAATTTTTTTTAATGTTCGTTAAGAAGATTTAAAAAATACCTTTGCAGTAAAAAGCAGAAATATCAAATGAAGTCATTAAAATAAGGAGAGTACTTTTATGGCATTATGATATTTTAAAAATTATATCATTTCCTTAATACTAGCAAAACTGGTTTTACTAAAACTTTAACTTCAATGAATATATACCATCAATGACACCTACCTTAATTAACCAGCTTCTAGAATATACCCACTACTTGGGTTAATGAACATTTTCCTTTAGTGAGAATGTAAATTAAATATGATTACAAAGTTGCATGGCACAACTACTAAAAGGAAAGTGACTGATTTATTTGGAATTACTTGTTTGTATTCGTGTGCATAACATTAAAAAACTACATGAAACTCTAAATTATACCTTTGTAGCACTTTATTTATTCAAAGCTACTAGATACCATGACTCACCTCCCCATATACAACTACCTCAAACATCAACTCTATTTAGAAAAGAATCACTGCCAACACATTTATTACATGCTCCTGTGCAAAGTCTCTCCTGAAGATGACTTCTCACCTCATCAGATGCACACGCAAATAATAAAATACAACAGACTTATGCAGATTGATTCCATACCAGCTATACTTAGAACATTTGAACTAAACAAAACATATAACATATGTAGAAGTTCATATCACTTATCTCAATTATTTACGATCCTCAGAGGTGAGTCTCAAATAGAAAAGGACACAGATACCAATACCCAAATATAATGCCAGAAAAAATGAAAAGGTGGGCTGCAGTATAAGGAAGTTCACTGAACTTCAACTACTATGTATTATCTAGTTTCAGGAGGCCACATCTCCTTCTCTGGCACCACTACAAGCGAACACAGATGTGTCAGTGAAAATACACACAGAGACATACATTTAAAAGATGCATAATCAGCCAGGCGCAGTGGCTATAATCGCAGCACTTTGGGAGTCCGAGGCGAGAGGACTGCCTGAGCCTGTGGGTTCAAGACCAGCCTGGGCAACTTGGTGACACCTCGTCTCTACAATAAATCAAAAAAT